AGTATCGTGGAATTGAAGTCCGCACGTCTTAAAGTTGCCAAGGTTGAGAAACCCTGATTGGGAAGATGGATTCCATAGACGTGGGAACCAGTTGCATCATTTGATGCTCCCTTTCCCAAGCAACAAAATGTCTTCAGTTGATTATTTCCTGCTCCTGTTCTTGTTTGTGCCAGCAGTTGATGCAATGGAAAGAGAAGGCCCCTGGCCTCTGCAGCTTAAGTTCATTTTGGGGAGGGGGCCTAATAAGGTTAACGCTTCTAACTTGGGTGCTTTCCACTTCCTGAATTCCCTAGTCACGTCTGAGCATCTTTTCTTTAGGGCATTTATATCTTCATTTCTGTTTGAGAAGTCCCCTAATTTTATCCTCACCACCCCCTTATGTGAAGTGGATTGGGCTAAGAGTCAGGGACTGGCCCAAAGTCACCCAGTGAGCTGTATATCCAAGTGGGGATTTGAACTTGGGACTCCCTGGGTTCAAATTCCACCGTTTAACCATCACTAGATTCTGAATCTTGAATTCCATATGTCTGGAGGGCACCTGGGTGGGAGAAGCCAGCCTTGGGGGCATTTATCAAGGGCCATGCTACTTTCTGTCCATCATTGGAACATGGATGGTCATATACAGTCTGAGATTTCTCCTTGTCTAGGCAGAGCATCGTTAATTGTGCTTGTCTTTCAATTTTAGGAAGATTGTCAATTTTATCTCATCCTTGAGTGTTTCCGTGTCATGCCCATGAAGAGGGAGGAGAAGAGGCTGCGGGATTGGTGAGACCCATAAGAACACTGAGATTAGTTGTGGGGTTGGCATGCCTATGTGGGAGTTGATAGCCTAGGCTCTATCCCTGAAGATTGCAGAATCTTCTGCATCCCATCGAACATATACCCCATTTTAATCAGGGTTAGGAAGTTTAACAGAATGAATTTTTTGTAAATACTTTTCTTGTAGTGCAATACCTGGTATTGTCTATAGCTGATTGTCCAACTCTTGCTGTAGAGTTGAGGAGCCTTACATATTTAATAAATAGTCAGAGGGGATTTGGAAAGAGGAAAGATTAAATATTACAGCAGGTGGCAACACCTAGCTGATCTTTTGATTTTCAAAAAGCTAAATATGGTTGGACTTGGTATTTGGATGAAAGATCACACACAGTCCCAAGACTGTCAATTAGAAGTTGGAAAGATATCCTGCAAGAAGAAAATATTTCCATGTTGTGCCAAGAGGACAACATAGATGTGTCCATGTAGTCACCAGCAGTTGACTGAACTTGAGGGAGAATTGACAGTTATCTTTACCTAGAGATTAAAATAGAAGAACTGGGTCCTCAGGACAACCATTACTTTTTCTTTATCTGATTCCATTGGTCTTTATAATGACATTACTCCCTTCTTTTGGCTACTCATCTGGATCGGGAGAAGATCTATGGGATACGTTCCCTGAAAATTCTCACAAACTGTTGTTTATTAATGAAAGCTGGGGCTGACATGAATGCTTTGAGCTGCAGTTCAGTTTCAAATGGACTTCCCCAAATAATAAAAATCAGTAATGTGAACCTGACTATACTTAAAGTAGAGCTGGTTCACTGCAACCTGCTGGGGAAATTCAGATACCAGTCAAATTGATGAGATGTTTAAGGTTCTATATGTCAGAACAATCAGCTTTTGTTTCAAAAGCTTCACTGAATTGCTGATTGGAGGCGGTTTTGTTATCTGAGTTTTTCACTATGGTAAAAAAACTGAGAATGTTAATTTTTTTTTTTTAATATATATATAGCAATCAGGAGCCGTCAGTCCTGCAAAAGATAAAGGAACTATGGCAGTAAGTTTGTGGGCCAGCTACTTGGTTCTGTTTTGCAAATGATCTTAAAATTAGCAGTATGTCCCAGTTCTGGTTTGCTTATAGCAATAAACTCTTTAGAATCTTCCTATGTTAGAATATTCCAGGTTCTTATTACATAAATTTCAACTAATCATCCAAGGAAGAGGCTTTAACTTTGTATTGTATTGCTGCCACATTATGCATTATGTGAATGGCAATAATTCATTCATAAGCAGAATAGTCCTTGGTTCCAGACATAAGTACAGCTTTGTAAATCCATTTTCCATTTCTCTTTTACCTGAGAAATACAGCATTAGCTGAGCCATCAAAACAACTTTAGTTCTCCATTCTCATGATAAATTAGTAATACAGCATGGTCCAGGACTTAGAATTGCTGTTTGTAGAGACAGTTCTGATTTTGATGAAAGAGGAAGATAAAAGAAATTGTTTTTTCTCTTTTCCACCTAGCACAATATGTAGGCAAGTCAAAATGTAGCTTACTTTTAACAAGAAGCACCCAGCTGTTATAATGAGTAAATTGTAGTTTTATGGCATAACTTAGTGTAAAAGCACAGCCGGTTTTCATTTACTTGATAAGCCATGGGTAAGCCATAGCTTAAAGCAATGTGCAAAATCAGTTACCTATTGATAATACTGGCAGCTGAAATGTGCATTGATGTTCAGAGTTGTCCTCTTGTCCCTCCTCCACTGTTATTTTTACTTATTAATGCTTAGGTGGATAATGGATACCTGCTGTGGTGAGCTGGCATTGATGAGGGCTGGAGAGCAGAAATACGTTACATTCTTGGGTGGTTCAGACCAGGGTGGAAGAAGCTTGGGAGAAAGCAAAAATAACTTGTGTATAGGAGAGATTCAGGATGTAAATCAAAGAGCAGGTCATCTGAAGACTTGGCAAGATTACTGTCATGCTTAACTCTTGATACTGTTTGATTATGTATTTCAGGAAAAGCTTTGTCCTGCAACCGTGGTTCAGCTCAGGTATGCTAGATTAAATGTTGGGGGCTTTTTAAATGAAATTTAGTGAAAAGTGGGGTTGCTATTAAGTGGATTCCCCTGATTTTCTACATTAGATTTCATTGTGGAGCAGATCTTATCTGTGTTTTATGCCCTTAATAGAGAATTAATAAGGGACTTCTCTTCCCTTTGGACCACTTAAAATAAAGGCTGGACATTTAGAACACAATTCCTTCCTAAGTTGTATTTTGATTGCAACATAACCTTTTCACCCAGTTAGATGGATTCGAGAGATGCTCCCTTTAGGCCAGAATAGTTACAGGAAATGATACAAATGTATTTCCGATCATGACATTTGATTAAAAAAAATGGTTTAGTCTTGATAGTTCTATATCCTTCAGTCCTAAAGTGAAATATTATGGGATTTTGCTTGTAAGCCGATTATCTATTTATAATGGGCTTGTTCTTGTTCTGTACAAGAATCACCATCTGTTTCCCAAGTATTGAAAGAGATAAACCAGGATCAACTGAGCACTTTGAAACAAAACGCTAAGGATTGTCTCAACTTATTGGACCCCAGCAAACTGTTGGATTCTGAGCAACTGGCAGTGTATCCTGACACTAAATGGCAACTGGAACGGAAGCAAGATAAGGTTTGTACTAACATGTCTTCTGTGCCCTGGTTATGACGTCTCAATTGAAATTATTGGTGGAGGGGAATGATGGTCGTTCAGCAAAGACCTCTGGTGAAGGGATAGACAGTGGAAAATTAGGAAACATCATGAAGAAGAAAAACTGTTAAAGCATTTATTCCTGATTATGAGGCTTTAACTCCTTCTCAACACAGTGGGCTATTTTGTTTAGAATTGTTTTTATAGTTAGTTCATTCTCAGGATAAAAATGAAAGCAGGGAAAATTGGAAAGAACTTTGCACCTGTGAAAGAGCAACTGGGAATGGGTATATTGAATATTCCCTTTGTGTGAAGCAGAAACTGATGAACAGTTCTAATTTCAGATGCACCAAGACATCTTTACTATTCCAGCTAAGTTCCTGGCAATCAGTGCAGAAAATGAGGCAGCACTTTCCCGATCCTACACGTCAAGTGAGTGCCAGAACTGGGGGCCAGATTTATGGATGAATATGGGTTGGCTTGGACATTTTTATTCTAAGGCAGTGCTCCTGATTTCAAAGTATGCGAGCGCTATAGTTAAAGATCATAATTGTAATGGCAGTTGGCAAGGAATGGCATAACTCGTGTGAAACCGAGGCTGAAATTTTGTGGGAGGTGTTTTTTGCTTAGAGCTCATGGCCAGCTTGTTACATAGGATGGCCAGACATAATACATGGGCTAAGTTTTAAATTCACAAGATTTTTGTAGTTTTTACTGAGGCGCACTCTGCCATTTTTAGCATCATGGTCTACAGGATTTATGTGGATCCTGTGGATGTGATTACAAGTGTTGTATAATGAGAAGTGGAAGTAGTGACTGCTACCAACTGGGGTAGCCCCCTTAAATCAATGTTGGGTATAGTCACGATCACAAATGTATAGGCTTAGAACAAAACGAGGCAACTCCCAAGCCACAGTTGGATAAATTAAGCCATACTGCATAGTTTTGTTCCTGAAGTATATTTGTTGCCCTTTCTTTTTTACAAGATGTTATATCTGCTTATAAACATGCCTTATTACATATTTTGCATTCCCATATTGGGTGTTGGAGTGTAATAAATTAAGCCCTTAAGTCTACTTGGGTGGATTGATCTAAAGCTGTATCCTTTGGCAGAGAGTGGGTACTGATAGCCGAGCCCTTCTTTTTCTCAGAGACCCCTCAAGCTGTCCCTGAAGCTGATGAAAATATTCAAGAAGATGACCGCAGTACTATATCTTTTTTCAGTGGTGAGTAACATTTGTTGTCTTTTGTGAACTAGCTGTTTAAACTCCTTCTTACGAAAGGGGATGTTACCTAAAAACCTTCTAAAAAAGTATTCATAGAGGCCGATTGGTGTTTTGTAATAATTTTTGATGTCCAACCTATAAGTCCATGTAGCAGAAACAAGATGGCTTTTTGAATCAATAATAAAGCACTGTCTTAAAAACTTATTAAAAAGACTGAACTAACCATTGCAGTTTTCAAAGTCTGCACAATTGTATCACTCTCAGAAACAAAGCTGATATGGAAGCTCCCAGAATGGTATATTCGGTCCACCTTCCCTTAAGCATTGAGGGAGAGAGAGATACAAATGTTGCATTTTGTCAGGCCCTATGTACAGGGATTCACATGATTTCGACCTCCTCTCTTGGAAGGGGGGGAAATGCCTCTATTTTTTCACAGTGTATATATCCTGTGTGATGTTTTCCATTGCATTGACCACCAGGAGGCACCATTTAACCAGTTTCATTTCCTCCCCTTCCGAAGGGGTGGAGGGGTGGTGGTGAAGTCACGTAAAACCTCGAATGTAGGGGGCATGGCTTAGCATAACATTTGTCTCTACTTTGAGAGCTTAAGACAGTATATACCATTCTGAGAGGTTTTAGATATCCCTTCCTACAACTGCTGAGCACCAGGACTTGGATAAGTAATGCACTATATATAGTCCTCTGAAATGCAAAGGTCTGCAAATTAAATTCTGGGTAGGAGATTTGAACCTGACAAAGTTACTTTTGACTACCCGTGTCTGAAGAGTTCTTGTAAAGGATGAAACCTTCATATGATGTCTGCCTTCTGGTGGGCAATGTAACTGATAGCTGACATGGGGAAATGTGAAATTCACCTTCCTGTGTTTCTTAATGTATCTATGGAGGCATCTGGATAATTATGTTTATCAGATCAAAACTTTATGAATTTCATGCATGGTACTCATTTACTCTTAAGTTGAATAATCCTGGAATTCACCTATTTCTTTTATTTTTTTTATCCTGCCTTTATTATTTTTATAAATAATATTCAAAGTGGTGAACATACCTAATACTCCTTCCTTCTCCTATTTTCCCCACAACAACAACCCTGTGA